CGTCCTCATGTTGAATATGCAATTCAGGCCTGGTGTCCATGGTTAAAACGAGACATCCGCCTCTTGGAACAGCCCCAAAGAAGAGCCACAAAAGCAACGCGTGGACTATCCGGTATAAGTTACGAAATGCGTCTTCGTGTACTCGGGGTGTTCTCATTAGAATACCGACGGCTTCGCGGTGATCTTACTATCACATACCAGATATTAAACGAAAGCGAGCATCCATGTACATCGCTGTTGACTCTAGCCCCATACAAACAAAACCGAGGCAACCACCTGAAACTAATGACGCAACACTCTCGTTTGAATTGTAGAAAGTATTTTTTCTCACTTAGAATCTGTTCTCACTGGAATGCATTACCAAACTATGTGGTAAACGCACCAGACATGACGACATTCGAAAGACTCTTAGATTTTCATCTTAGTGATAAACGATACACAACACTTTGTTAAAGTGCAATGATTTAACCACTGATACTTTACGTTCCACGTTGGAACATTTTGATTTTAATTTTCTTTTGCATATCCATCCTGTGGGTCTTGTAAAGTTATGCTTTTTATCCCATCATACACCATTGAACCATTGAACCATTAAGGTAAACATTGATCTGATCCCTTACGGGAGAAGCACCTAGCCAGTCTAGAAATATACCTATATATTTATTTAGTTATTTATTAGCTGCTGGAGACTTTAGTACGTATGGGTCCGCGCAAGAAGACACGAGATAAGAAAAGATGGCCGAGCTTCGCCATGAAATGGCAGCAACGCAGTTAGAAAGGCAGAACTTTAGGAGACCGCACGCCTACCACAAGATAGCCGCTATTATTCACGGCGCCTATCAGTCCGAACATCCACTGTACAGATCCAGGTCAGCGCTCCAACGCAGTCCATCACCCGCCTCGCAGCAGAGCCTGAATTGTCAATTTAATGGATGATGTGTCTTGGTATCATCGCCGGTCTGGTGACAACGCTCGACATTGCCGTTCGTACATCGCCAAGCGTGGTTTAGTGGCACAGAGAAACTAGTTCGCCGGCACGTGAATGCGGCCCCTACGTCCGGCAGAGGCAAAACAGGCCGCCTGTTTTACCTCACGAATAGGCCCTCCCGCGTCACTTTCCTTTTCAACACAGGAGCCGAAGTGAGCGTTATCCATGCCAGCGCACAAGACAAGCATTCGAAGCCCATGTACAATATATGGGCAGCCAAATGCTCACCGATAGCTTCATACGGTCGGCGCATGAAGAACCTAGATTTAAATCCCCGCAGAGACTTTCCCTGGGTTTCCACGTTTGTGACAATATCTTTCACAATTATCGAAACCGATTTTCTTCTCCATTTCGGATTGCTTGTTGAGATGCGTCGCCCCAGAATTTTCGAGGACTATACAAAACTAGGTGTTGATGGCGCCCTTTCAGATGCCCCGATAATCAGTCCTGTATTTCATATTTCTTACCCTCTGTCCGACTACTTGAGCCTCGTCTTCGAAAGCCGGCGGCAGAGCTTCCACCAGTCACAACAGAAGTCGCTCACCACATAGTCTCGCGAGGTCAACTAGTTAGCGCAAGAGCAAGACGGCTTGCTCCAGACAAACTACGTGCAGCACGATCTGATTTCGATCACATGCTTCAGCTCGTTACCGTCAGACCGTCTAACAGTCCATGGGTGTCGTCTCTCCACATGGTCCCGATAAAGGTACTGGGGACCGGCGTCCTTGCGGCGACCATCGAGCCTTAAACACGGTTTCCACGCCTGATCGTTATTCGATCCCACACATGGTGGGTCGCACCGCCAGTCTTGCTGGAGCAGTGCAAGTTAAGATCGGTCATCAAAAGCACTAGGCTTTACTGCCGTTACCTCGATGACGGTGATGATATATTACACCATTCCACCGGAAACAACGAAGCCCTTACTACCACATTTACCCAGGCGCATACAGAGCTAAATTAACGTCGGAATTAGAGGCGGATCACTCTTTTCACTTTCTCGATATGGCCAGGGAGCGACTAGATGCTGGTGCGCTACAATGTAGTGTGTATAAGAAACGTTCTCTGAACGGATAATACATGAAATCCAACAGGTTTGTTCCACTTATACCGAAACCGAAGCTGACTTTCAGGCTACTGATTCGGGTGGAAATAATTTGCTCAAATAACACTTTCTCTGAGGATCTGCAGCGCCTACGCTTAACACTGAAGGAAAGTGGGTACCCGGATGGCTTCATTAAGGCCATTATTCCACAACTGCCGTAAGTTGTGAAATCGTTCCTGAACTTCTAACTCGTCGTATTTCTCGCGTTATCAGGCACACCTTCAAATAAGCAAAATGCAGATTAACTTCAATAGTAGCCCGATGGTGAAAACTAACGGAAAAGACCATAGGCCTGTTCACGCCAATTCCATGTGCGTTCACTCATTCACCTGTTCTTGTGTTTCAGGATTTATTGGCCGTACGACGAAGCGCATCTCTGGCAGGTTGAGGGATAACCGACCAGCTTGCTACTGTGTGTCGTAAGCTGACCAACTTGTAGTTTGCCACGCATCTTGCCGATACTGTCCATTCCCCTAACCTAGCCGAGCAATTCAGTAATCTTTCGACAAAGGAAAAATCGATCAAATTGCTTTCGAAAGCGGAGATTTTCGCAATCCGACTATACGAGTCGGAATTGTGCTTCCGCAAAGATTCACTGACACGCTGCGCTGGATTTGGTCCAGATGAACTGCCCCGTCCAGACCAACGAATTATGCACTTGCTACAACTGTGTCCTAGTTGGCGGTGATTGGCATTGCCCAGTGACTGCAAACAATTATTTACCGTTCCTTGTTGTTTGTCCATATTTTGGTCATGTATTGCATTTAATTTTACAAAGCTTAGGAATAATTTGCGAGAAAAAAGGTTCGCTTGATAACATTGAGTTTTATCTTTCAACGAACTATTTTCAAGCTGGCGATTTCAGGCTAACTTTTTCTTTGTCTACCTTGTTACCATTGTGAATCCAACTGCTTAGAAAAGTGAGCACTTGGTAACACGCGTAATCTCATTCACGCGACTCCACGGGGGTGGCTTTCGACAACAAGTGTAATTTTGGTTACTTTACTTTGAACATTTCCGTTCACACCATTGATGGCACGGGCATTTCGCAAACCGCTGAGAGATTTTATGTCATACCAAACTTTCCACCTTTCTTTCTGTGAAATATTTGAACGTCTAAAACAACTTTATCCGTTAGAGCCGTTTCGTTTTGAACACCGCAAAGTGGTTATCTTCACTCGCGATCTTGATGGTTGATGGTCCGAAGCGATGCGATTTTACATTTGAGCCATTGTACGAGCTAACAAAGAAGTCAGATCTTTTTGGATAATAACGTGAGGTATTTCCATTTGGAATCCGTCGCCCTGCCCTAGTTAAACGTAACTTTATCCAGTAAAGCTATTGGAGCTGTCTTGCAGCAGACCAACAATATGTTATAACAATCACTTGGAGTTTTCTTCACAAGCTCACACCAGCCGAAGCCTGATACAGTACGTCTGTTCGCGAGTTATTCGCTTTATACTCAAGCATCCTCCACTTTTGACATCTTTGGAGGGAAGACAGCGTTTGTTTATGGATCACACGCCTCTGAAATTCACGTTACAGGCTAAGCCAGATAAGTATTCACCCCGCGTTTTACGTTGGTTAGATTTCATTTCACAGCATATCACTGATATCTGATACAGGTTCTGGACGTGCTAACATTATCGCTGATACATTATCACGCCCACAGGTCGATGTAGGTGAACTACTCCCCCATTAATATGGAATGCATGACTCAACTGCAAAAAAGTGAACCATCTCAGCCGCAGGTAAGTTATTGACAGCTTTCAATGGACATCTAGTAAGTGCCTCTGTACACCACACCAGGTACGTTTGGCTGTGATGTAGCCACAACAATACCTAAACCATTGGTTACTGCATCCATGCGAACATCCATTTTCGAGGCTCTTCTTACCGTTTCGAATCCAGGTATGCGTGCAACTGACAAATTGATCTCTGAACGCTTTGTATGGCCGAACAAGTACCAAACTTCCCCACCTGGGCAAAGACTTCCGCACATGGGCAACAGCTTAGCATGCCAACTTTCGAAAATCGTTCGGCATACTCAATGGCGAATCGGAAAATTCGCAAAACCAGATAGCAGCTTCGGCGATATGCACTTCGAAATCATCGGAGATGGTTGGCAACTCTTCACGATAAGTGTCATGGCCATGCGTGAAGCTACATTGCGTCAGTCAAGTATTATTCTTCTTTCTAAAGGAACGCGTCGCCAGTGGGCAACCAATGTTCAACTGATCAATACAGCGCCATTTTAGGCTTTAGGTTTGTGAGATCGAAAATGCCATACTCTGTGCGTGTTCATGTAGAAAATTGACACATTTTAGAGTAAGAACGAAAGATTTAAAAACAGGAGCCTATTGGTAGATTGCAAAACTGAGGACTATGTAGCTTATAGCATGAAAACCCGCCGTTCAATGTTTGTTTAATTACCGCTACTTGGGCTGCAAACATCTCCTCTAATTCATCGGAAGCGCAAAAGATGCACTCAACAAAGCGTGTTATGGTGAAAATATTTATACAGTACTTTAGAAAAATGACCCGCTTCATAAGAAAGTTGAAGTTCAAAACCGAACGAACTATTGGTTTGGAATTGAATACAGAATAGTGCATCACATTGAAAATTTGCATGAACAGTAGCACAGCCTGGAATTCCGAATATGCGGTGGAGATCGGATAGCTTTTGATTGAGTGCAAGTTTTAAAGCTCACCAATTGGTGATATTTAAAAACACCAGGTCCGAGAGAAATGTCACGTTATCGGACCTTCGTGGAGCATTTGGAAAATGTCAACTCTAAGATACATCTGAAGTAACTGGCTTATTTTACAAATGCGACGTGGCGATATGAAGATTGGATTCAAAACGCATTTCACTGCTTGTGAGACATAAAGCACTCACATAACGAATGGTCATCTTGAAAAGTTTGTATGACATGCTGTGATATCCACGCCCTTACGCTGATTCAACGTCATTATGTCCGACTGCACAGGGTTGCAGCTAGCTTGAAGAACAAGCAGATTTGTGACAGTTGATGGCGCTCGGTTGAATGCGTTATTCAAATTGGCTGTGTTTGAGTTGTTAGGTAAAGATGGTTGTGGTATGGATGGTGGCGGTGGAATCATCAGGGCTGACTGAATCAGCCCAGGGTTTCGAGATATTTGTACATCCATTGGTGCGTTTGTGCTTGGCAACATACTGTTAAATAACAGAGGCAAAGTTTGCTCAGGATATGGTCTTAGAACATCATTATCTCTCCTGTTCAACACAGAAGGTACATCGTAAGTGATATTGTTGGCATCTGAATAGACTACCGGTTCATAGGATGTAGAAGCAGAATGCAAGCTACTTCCACGTTGCATAGCAGTCCTAAAAGCATGTGATTCCATGGGGTGAATGAATGGATTGATAACATTCGCTGTGGAACCGGGAACCAAATTATTCCCACCATTCATCAACTGGTGGTAGGCATGAGCGTTTAGCATATTTGCAGTGAGAGACATCGCTTCGGAAGAAACAAATATAGGCATGGATGAGTACTGCTCATCGGTTTTAGGAGATGATCCCAGCTTTGTGTTGGACGTAGATGTGTTGGACGAAGAAGTGTTGGCTGGTGAAATAATCACAGATTCTAATATTCGCGTTTTTGTTTTAGTCCTCCGGCGTCCTTTATGCACTCCACAGACTGCCGGATAGTAGTGAAGACAACGATGTATAAGGAAGAATAACATCACTGTCGAGAAGAAAGTGCCTCCAATCGCTCCCAACAGTTGGCTTAAACTGAATTGTGGGAGGTGCAACACTGATTGCGAAGACATGATGTCTTCCGCTGACCAGAAGTTGTTGGCAATTTCTGGAGTGGTGTTTGGTGTAGCTAGAGTTGAGGAAATATCCATTTTAGTTGAAACATTAGGAATTGTAGGAGGCCAGAGTACCCGAACCTTTGCAGATACGTTGCCGAGTACATCATATCCCAAGCAGGAATATGTGTCTGATTGCGAAACCGGAAATACCTTCACACTTGATTCGGTTCGAACAAAGTCATCTAGGCGTCTGTTCCTTTGCTGTATACCTAATGCTTCATTGGCACTAGGTAAGCTAGCGTTCATCTCGGAAATAATTTTCGGGCCAGTAGTTGGATCATGATAGCGCCATTCAACCACTAGTTGCTTGGAACCTCTCATTACGCACTTCAAATTCACAGCTGATTGTTTGACGTCATTCAAAAGAGAGTTCGAATTTTCCGTTTGCAGGAGGGCGAGATACTTTCCCAGATCCACATCCAAGCGCTCCAGTTGTGGTGGTGGACAGTGAATTATAGTTGGCCAGCCTGTGATGCCCATTAAATTTGTTCGACTTTCATGCATATCGTATACATCCGTGATCAAATCACTGAAATTACGACCTGAAAGCCCAGGAGGAGAGCTACATTTGGGTTGATTGTCTTCCTGTTCCCACATGTTTATGGAATTGCTATCGTCCCAGCTGCGTTTCCGTGAAATATGTATTTGTGCCCGATTATTCACCATTAACCGGTAGCGGCGGATGAGCCAAGTCAACTGACAGTCACAATGCCACGGATTTCCATTGATTTCAAAATCATGCAGACCAGAAAATATGCGATCAAATTTACTATCTAACGAGTGAAATCTATTCCCTTTCAGTAGAAGCTTGTCCAGTCGTTGCTCGCTAACCAACGATAACAAAGGTTGATAAGGTAGACTGACCAATTTTGAGTGTCGCATTAATAAGCTCTTCATTTTGGTTAACCCTGCGAATGTGTGATCATCAAATTTGGGTTGATCAATTCGGTCGAGTACGAGAGTTAGAGGTCCAAGTCCGGCGAAAGCGTAGTCACCGATATGTGTTAGTGGATTTCCACTCAAGTCCAATATTTCTAGCTTCGAACCCAGTGCTTCAAATGCATGACGGCCGATAGTGCGTACGTTGCACCATCGAATATACAAACTTTTCAACCGAACCTGCCCTCCGAATTCCGGAGTTCTGTACACGCTCAGTTCTGTAGGTCCCAAATGAGTGCTATCCAACGTTTGATTCTCGACGAGCAGGGACTCCAGCTGGGGCATATATGGTTCTGGAAGTCGCCTTAGTCCAGGAATCTCGCAACTCATTCGATTAGGAACACAATGACACTGGATTGGGCATTCCGATGTCGGCACCTCTTTTGTTGGCTGTATGAATCCAATCGACAGAAGTGCGAATTTGAGTAGTTGTCCAAATGACATAACCAAGTATGATGCGTCCTTTTAATATATAGCCTGGAAAAGGTTAAAATATGAAAAGTGTTACCATATAGGCCTTGAAAAACAATAAATTTATTGCCAAATTAACAAGAAAAGTAGTGGTATCCATTCCCATATATTTGCGCGAGTATTTACCGCTTACGAGAAAATTACATCGAATTGAGCTTTGAGACCCAATGCCCCATTGTTCATAAGAGCTTTGGTCATAAAGTTTCAACCGACCAAACATTTCTTATGTTTCTAAATGAAATATTCTACTTTTTAATAAGTGAAGCAACACAACTCAGTACCTTGTCATGCGGGGTAAACTAAGTCGTCTTTAGTTATTTCAAGAATAGAAACCAGAGGTATTTTTGCAGTAAATTGCACACATTTCCATATAAAAATAAAAATTACGAAATATCTGTTATATTATTTGGCCTGCACAATACTTGGCAGTTCACTTTTATCACGATAAACGGTTAAATATTTGAGAAATGAAATGGCCTTTTGTTTGTAAATAAATATTGTTCTCTTTGCTACTTTCTTATTGCGGTTCGTAATCTAAACTTTGCTTTTATTGACTTAAATTTAAATGCCAAAGAAGTACTAAATCTCTAGTATTAGGCATTCAAATATACTAATTATTTGCCTGTATATAAGGAGATGTGCTTGTTAATAATTGTGTTTCCGTATGACTTCACTCTGTTAATAAAGAATATTGTTGCATAGCAAAGCTTTAAGTTGATATCGAGCACAAGAGAATATCAGCTTTTTGATATTAAAGGCGGCCCACTGTTTAAAAAAATAAAAAAATAAAAAAAATAAAAATAAAATACGTCTACACTCTTTGCACGTAGAAATGGCCAGATTGATTTCAATCACCGTGACTCACGACGCAACATTAAAGCAACTCTGCATATTACATTTGGTAAAAGCATGCATTCATTACACAGTGGTGCCACATAACTGTAACTAAACTTTGTTCTGAGTAACCAATACTAAGAAAATCTCGACCAGTGGTTCCCAAACGTTTTTTGGCCGCTACCCACAATACCCGTTAAATAAAAGTAGTTAGCCACAAAACTTTCAAGAGCCAATTAGCCATTAACTATGGCACCTTTGCATAAAAGTACGGAATATGGATACCGAATATAATTACTTTCGATCACGCAAATAAAGGATCCATTTTCGAGCAATTGTTCAATAACTTAAGAGGTGAGGAACAAACAGTTTCTGGCGTATTTTTGCGGTTTCGGCTAATGCATATCGCGTCATGTAGTGGTGCTCAGTGATTCTGAGAAAAAACATTCTTTTTTAAGGCGTTTGTCTTTTAGGCACTGAATATAAACATTTAAATCGGAAGATGTAACTTGGATCTACTCATATAAGTGTAGTGCGAAGAAAAGCCCTTACTTTCTTTCACTAAATACTGCATCCAAAGTAATCGTGCTCATATCCTGGATGCGAATTTGATGGCGCTGTTAGAAAGTGATATCACACATATCTTTTTCGCATGTTGCTGGACACCAGCGGTTCTGAATCTTTCTGAAGCAGTTACTCACAGATCGGGTTAACTGTAATCTACCCCCCAATTTCCTTTTTAAACGCTAACTAACAAAGAACGGTTGGGGTTTTCGCTTCTAATTATGGGAAGTGATAGCCATGTAGAATTACTTTCAAACAATAAAGGAGAGAAATCCGTTATTTTGATGCAACAAGGTATGCAATCAAGAGGCGATACACATCAATGACATACTTGGTATTGCTATTATGTTTGCCCAAAATGTTACCAGGTGTGAGCTTTAATGAGTTGTGTTTAATTCGCTATCTTAGTGCATTCCTAGGAATTGCGCTTTAAGTTTAAATTCAGTATGCGGAAATGTTTCTTCATCCACTGAAATGGGTCTTAGCACCCAGGCATTTAGTTGACGATATTCAAACTCAGGAAAATATTTGCTGTTAGAATGCACCACTGATGACAAAGTGGCATTTATACCATTGGTGGGCATTGTTTCATTAATCATGTGAATCGTGTGGCTGATCTGGTTCTCCTATGGCATATCAATTCACCACTTTTCCTGTTGGTTCTACGGTGATTTCGAAGGTGGAACACTCACAAGATTTTCCTACCGTTCCCGTCCCAATTGAACTTGAACCTCGATCGGAGAATGTGCATGTTTCATTTCTTCCAACGAGCACCATTTTTAGTCCTGAAAACGTCGACAAGTCGTCAACTGTATCTCTGGGTTTTTAAAGCTGCAATTTACAAAGAAAACTGACAACCCTATCCTGAGCATTTAAAATATTAATCATATTTCATTGCAACCTTAGGTTCAACGTATTTATTCCTCAACAGAGATCAGCAAGATATGCTACTTTGAAAACAACTACGTGTTATCAAAACTTGTAACCCGTTCCCCTTACCTCTATGGAGATTTTCCTACCAAGAAAAATTGCAATTGCTTCTCGAAGCTCAAGCACACGATGCAAGACTCTGCCCATTGATAACCAACGCACTTCTGTGTGCAATAAAAGTACATCAAATTTGCATTCACATTTAATGCGCAACTCTTTGGAAACTGTTATACATGTCACACTATCGCGGATAACAGTTACTATTTTCACTGATAAGGCAAAACGATGCGTGCTGCAGTAGATAAAGGTAGCTTGCGGAGCAAAGTATTTGATCCTTTGGAATCCAGAACGGACGCCCAAGCTGGATGGTGCGCTGTTTGTACAGACACCCACCAAGGTCGAGCAATGTAGCTTCTTTACCCCGACGAAATCCTTCACATCTTTGCTCGTGTAGTTGGGCTCAATGATGCTGAGTACAAGTAATATTTTTGGAGCCGTCAACTTTTAAATACCGAACATAAACAAATATCTAGTAACTAGCTGCAACGTTGGTCTACTCAGCTAACTGTATTGCGCAGAAAGGACTTGACTTGATTTCGTTGAGCACCAGTTTCAAAATGTTCTTGCTCAAGTCATTGATACGACTTTTGATGGCTTTGCAAGAAAAGGATATCGTACTCATCCGTTCCGCATTTTGCTCTCCAAGAACGAGCTTCCGGACATCTATTATGCAAGGACTGATGAGCTCCTATAGTATGCGGTTTTATGTTTTTGGTGATTCGAAGAGCGAGGCGAAGCTCAGCTTCAATACCAGCTTCAGTAAATTGAAAAAAGGAGCCTGATGTATTCATTAGCAAATCGTTTGGGGTAACTGCTTTCCGTTTGAGGGACGTAATATCTTTCCGGACAAACTGAGAATGGCGCTGTTCGAATTGGTCTTTGAATTTGCTACGTTTCATGCTGTCCGCCCTGAACAGTTTGCTGCAAGAAGATATTGCGAATTCGCAACCGTTTTATCGACAAAACTGGTGGAACCCCATTGAAGAAAAACTTCTTTGTAGGACCACTTGCTTCAAAAGACTAGTTTCCTGCAAAATATTAGATGGCTGGATGTCATATATCTATAAATATATATGTTCGTAGAAAGTAGAAGTCACGATTAAACTGCGCACAATAATCTGCCTCGACGGGGAATCGAACCCCGGTCCCACGAATTTCCGGTCCGCTGCTCTACCACTAATCTACCGAGGGCTGACGATTAGGTGCGCAATTTAATACATGACTTCTTCTTGGTGCGCGACGTATTGCCAATGAGCTCACGATAATCTACCATCGCCCTTTGGACTTCAGAAGAACAATTACTTCAGTCCCTTGGAAAGTGACGAGTGAGTGAGCCAATCTGAGACACCAGGACAGTTACTATGAGCTCATTGGCAATACGTCTCGCACCAAGCAGAAATCATGTATTAAATCGCGCACCTAATCGTCAGCCCTCGGTAGCTTAGTGGTAGAGCAGCGGAAATTCATGGGACCGGGGTTCGATTCTCCGTCGAGGCAGATTATTGTGCACAGTTTGATCGTGACTTCTACTTGCTACGAACCTTATCGAAACAACACTTATATGGGTGTTGGGAAGCGGCATGTGGGGAAACCGAAGTTACATTACCAGGACATGACAAAATGAGCCTCTCACGTTTTAATCATGATGGCAGGTCATGGAAATCGAAGGCGGTTGATCGGCGTGCATGGCGTGATCTAATCACGAAGACAGTTGCTGAAGAGCGTGAGAAAGACCTCATACATGCAGAGAAGAAGCGGTAAGTGTGGAAGCGGCAAGCATCGATGGGTTGTACTCCATCGACATCTAATGCTTGGTGGTGTAGCACATGCGGTCGCGAGTGCCTGAGTCAGGCAGGCCTAGTGACCCATAAGCGAGGCCACTCGGAAACCACTACTGAAGAGATGACGGGTCAATCAGGGAACGTAGGCAGAACCGGCGCAACGTTTGTAGGCATATTGCATTCGATTTACTAACCGCGTGCTTGCATGCTCAGTCAATTGATTTTAACTGGTGGGATTTCAATTTTAACCTAATGCTTTTGTTTCGCATATAAATGTATACCCGTACTATCTTCTATAAAATTGCTCACGTAGCTTAAGCCAATTGTAGTTCATTTCGATAACATTTGCTTAGTTATCTTTCTTTAAAGTGATTGGCTGTTGTTTGATATCCCCAGCGTGGCTGCGCCTGATGTGCATGTTGACAAGTTGCCTACCTGTCTATTTCCCACTACCTCGTCCATACTGGCTCTAGGAGACAGTTGGTCGTTGCTGGTGGGGACGGAGTGGACGGTCCTTGTAGCAATGCTACGCTCGAAGAGTGGTTCCATGCACTCAGTGTGGAGCGGACTACGGTTCAGCCACTGCATTGTGTGCGCTTGATTCCCAAAAATAGCATGTTTGTGTGCCTGCGAAGGAGTATGTGATGGCTGCGTTGATGAAATTTGGCTCACATCCACATGCATCCCGGTGTTATTGCTTCCCATTTACACTGGATATAGGGTGTGTGGTTGGAGCTGTGGGTGGTGTAGCGCAAGCCAATCTTGGTCTCTCTGTAGGCGCAGGTGTCCTGTGGTTGGCAACAA